AGCTGAGCCCACCGCTGCCTGCCCGCTGCCACGATCCCGGGGAATGAATAACCGTAGGGAAGCAATGCGCTGCTTCAACGCAGCCGCCAGCTCGCCCGCCGACAGGTCATTCTTTTTTATGGTTCATTTTGTCAAACAACCATTTGCATGCGCTTCTGGGACGAACCCAGGCTGCAGGGCCGCTGCTTGGAGCATGACACCCAGACCCGAGGCTGGGGATGCCCGAGATCCACCAGCTGCAGAGTGGAGGAAGGAGTTTGGCTGGTTCCAAGCCACCTGCATCAGCCCTCATGTGCTGGCTGCACTTCTCTAGGTCATCCTTGTGTTGACAGGCACAGAGAGCCTGAGAGCAAGGGCTGCCTTTGCAGTGCTTACTGTTGGGAAACTGCCTTGAGAGGCACTTTAGAGGGCATAGTTCGTAAGTTTGTTTGAAGTGAGCTGGAGACACGAAAAGGTGTGTAAGTACCAGGCTGCCTGCGGGATTTGGGTGCTGGTCCCTGGTTGAATCCTCAGCTGGATGCAGCACAAGCTGCTTTTGGCACAGGGCTGGCATTGGGGTGGTAGGAGAGACTTGGAGATGCTGGAGACCAGGGCACTTGGGAGTCTGGAGGTGGGAACCTTGTCCCATGGGTCGCTCAGGTGGGTGGGGAGGTGGGAAGGGGAGTTTTGGGGCAGGTCTCTGTGTCGATGTGTTTCAGGGGAGCCATGCTCTGCAGGGAGTGGCAGGGAGCTCCTGGCTGCACCCCAGAGCCATGGCACAGCTTCTTCCAGCGATGCCCACAGGAAGGGCAAGGCTTGGGTGTCCTGTCCCAGAGATGGGGCTCCGGGGGTGGCCTGGAAGCTCCTGCTTTCTGACCTTGGTGGAGAGGAGCCTGGCCAGCCCGCCAGGCATGGCTCCCTGTCTGTGCCCAGAGGTCACGTTGATTTTGATGGGCAATTAAAGTTTTTCCAGAGCAGCTTTCTCACAGATGGTGGGAGTGTCCCGTGGCTTTTCAGGTGAATCCCATGTGCACTTTCCATTAGGGCAGCGGTTCCCAGACCAGGTTCCTGACAGGCTGCAGGAAAAGCGGGGGGCTGCCACCAGCCCGTGGTGGGA